CCCTTGTTTGCTTTGTTTAGGCCAATCTGTCTCTAACAGGCTTTTTGAGTATCTTTTAGAGTACCTCATTTCCCCTTATCTTCCTTCTTGGTAGAGTGGGGTGTATAAATAAAGGGAAGCAAAATAAGTATGTATTGACATCATTCAAAAGCATTTTTCTTTTCTTTTTTTTTGTCCTTTTTTGAGACCGGCCGCACCGTGCTCAGCCAGTGAGCGCTGTGAGCACACCAGTCATCCCTATATAGGATCCGAACCCGCAGCGGGAGCGCTGCTGCGCTCCCAGCACCGCACTCTTCCGAGTGCGCCATGGGCTCGGCCCAAAAGCATTTTTCTTCATGTAAGAAAATAACTTTATGTATACACCTTGGAAAGGAAATACACTTTATGTTCCTTTTTAATTAGCATGTATTTGCATAAGAGTCTCTTAGATCGGGTGATGGAATACAGTGAAGCTGACTAGTCTATGTGAGGGTGGAACCTTTGTCCTCAACTTATCTGTATAATGTTTAGGATCAGTTGACACAGCCACTAACAGATAGGCCTCAGTCACAGTAGAAAATACAAAGATGAGTTTTTTCACTGGTGGCTGAATATTATGTACTAATTTAGTAAGTTTTTAGTACTAAATATATAGTGCACATATTGGGGCGTGTTAATTATGTTAACTCTTTTAATTGAAGTGAAAAGAGCAGTACTGGGATTGACCATGCAGAAGAGATGGAGTTGCTGTTGGAAAACTACTACCGATTAGCTGAAGATCTTTCCAATGCAGCTCGGGAACTTAGGGTACTGATTGATGATTCACAGAGTATTATTTTCATCAATCTGGACAGGTAAGAAAGCATATAAAACAACCAGTATTTTCTTTATAGAAGAATTATTATAAAGTAATAAAACTTTTAAGGAAATGTCATTTTGGAAGGAATTATACCATTATTATGATTTGTACTACATGAAAGTGTTTCTTTTGTTTTGGTTTTTTTGCAAGGTATGGATTTAATTCATGCAATCTTTAATACTTAGTGAATTTGCTGTGTGTAGTTAGTAGGCCCTTCTGATCTGAGTAGGTGTTCTTCTCTCCAGCCACCGTAATGTGATGATGAGGTTGAACCTACAATTGACCATGGGAACCTTCTCGCTTTCGCTTTTTGGACTAATGGGAGTGGCTTTTGGAATGAATTTAGAATCTTCCCTTGAAGAGGTGAGAATGTATTGTTTCGCTAACTACAAATGGGAAGGGTTTGATAAAACAGGTTTACACTGTGAGGCAGTTAATGAAGAGTTTTATTTTTTAATTCTTACATGCCTGATAATGTACCTGGCAGTTTGCATCCTTTATTTGGCTCCATCATTGCAACTCTGTGAAAGTCAGTGTATTATCCCTACTTTGTAGATGAGGAAACCAATCCTCAGAAAATTGAAATAACTTGCCCATGTGCACAGAGCTTGAAAATAACAGAGTTAGAATTAGAACCCAAGGACTTTCACTTTCCACTTAATTCTTCCACCTTTCCATATTGGTATGACACTGAACTCCCTGAATTTTTTCCTATCATAGCAGCTTTGTATTTTCAGAGAATATCTTATTATAAGGTGTCTAGAAATGAATCTGCATGTGCATTTGGCCCACTCTGGTGCTGTATTCTGTGTCCTTATTAGTTTGACAGGTCTGTCCTTGGTCTCTGTGGCTGTCACCCTAGTTGAACCCAGTCTGTCATCAGGACCACTGTATAGTTTTAAAAAATAGTTTTTAGAAGTTGTAAACATGATTACGTGGCTCTTCTGCATAAAACTCTTCAGTGGCTTTTGATTAGCCTTTAGATGAAAATTTAGCCTTTTTGGTTTGGGGCTTTCCTAGTCTGCTGCCCCTGTGTCTCCATGTCGCCTACAGCCAGTCCGGTCAGTTGCTCCATCAGTGCTCCTTCCCAGGCATGCTGCCTCTACACCTGTCCCCTGAACTCCCACACATTTTGCCTAAATCCTCAACTTATGTGTCACTTCACTGATTGTACCCCCAACCCATACAAGTAAAATTACTCCCTTTGTAGTATGTGCCCAAGTAGTCCTACACTTCCCATCTGCCACATTCCTTGAATTTGCAGTTATTTGTTCAGAGCCTACAAAAGATCATGAGCTCCCACAGGCAAAGTCAGTACTAGTCATTTTTAATGCTTCTTATGGTAAAATGTAAAAGAAAAATAAATGCAATATAGTCGTTCATTCATTTCACAAATACGTCTTTTAGTGCCATTATATATTGAGCACTGCTTTAGGCCCATATAGCAGTGAGTCCCTGCCCTTGTGGAGGTTACATTATAGAGGAGGAGAGAGATGATAAACATACATAAAGTATGTTAACTGAAAAGTGCCACAAAGTGAAAGAAAGCCAGGTAAGGAAATAAAGAATGTGAGTTGCTGAGACAGGTGGCATTTTAGAGATAGAAATAGTGAAGGAAGATGGTTTGGAGGTGATATTTGTGTGGAAGCCCGAATGAAAAGAGAAAGTAGGAAGATCTGGAGGAAAGTGTTCTAAGCAAAGAGAACTATAGATGTAAAGACAGGCAGGAGTGAGCTGAGCTTGTTCATGGGAAGCAAGAAGGCCAGAGTGTTTAGAAGAGGATCAGTCAGGTAGAGAGTGGTAGGAAATGAGGCCAAAAAGACAAGCGTGAGATCATGTCAATTGTGTAGAGCATGGTAAGGGTTTGGATTTATTTAATGTAATAGAATTTATGGGAGGGTTGAGCCCAAACTTAGACCATTAGAAAGTTCAGAAGTAGCCAAAATATCTTGTGCAACATAGTCCAACTCTTGATGTGCTCAGGATACATCTATAGGCCTTTTCAAATTCCCCAGTTGTGACTACAGACCTAGAGGTCTAACGTCTGTGGGTGTGTGTTCAATGCACATGGAATTTTGACCTTGGTTTGCCTCTGACTTAGCTTACATTTCAATTTTATCACATTTTGGCATCCCCAGAGACTTTATAAGGAACTACAAAACCAATCTACTGTGAAGAACAACAGTAATCTGTTTATGTTAAATCTCATTTAAATAGAATTTTTACTTAGTAAATTGGGGCCCTCATTTTGGATAACTGGAAGTGTGTTCACCATCCAAGAACCATTCACTCATGTTAACACTTATCTTCCTAGTTTTTTATGTCTAATATCTAGCTTCATGTTAAAAGGAGGCAGATTTCTGCACAGTAAATGACATGAATTTCCATCAGCGATGGGCAGTCAGCTGTGTCACAGGCCATCTTGGGGGAAAGTGAACCTCTGAAGCATTGGCGCTAACCAAGCCATGGGTGATAACCAGCTAATGGCATAGCTGTGGATGGGATCCCTTTCCTTTGAGAGATTAAGTTTAAACTCTGTGATTCTATACATTAATACATTTGCTGGAAACACTACACTGGAAAAATATTATAATTCTGAAAATGATGGTGAGGAAAAATGTTACTGCAAGTCTGAAGTTCCCAAACTTTTGCTTCGTGGTACGTTTAGTGTCTTAGTAATTTTTTCCCCAGCATCCCTATACCAAAAGTTTCATTTTTGTTATTTCTCTTGAAAATGCCCAGGATACCTAAGCTCAGTTTGGGAACTGTGGCTACAAGCAAAAAAGTTGTGTGTTCTCTGTGATTTTGACTATGAAAATGTGTATGCATGTAAACAAAGACTGGAAAGAAACTCCAAGTAAAAGCAGTTATGTTTGGCTTATGGATGATTAAAAACTGAACACTTATAAATCATGTTTCCCTTCTGATTTACTGTCTCATTCTTAGTCTCTGAGTGCTATTGAGGTGCTTGTTCTTAGTTCCTTTCTATAAGAAAGAGCTGTACAAATAACAAGGCTTCTTTTAAACTCAGGAGCAACAATAGTTCACAATATTTTATCTCTAAGGATAAAATTTTTGCAATTGAAATGAACCATGTGTTCTCTTTCAGGACCATAGAATATTTTGGCTGATTACAGGAATTATGTTTATGGGAAGTGGCCTAATCTGGAGGCGTTTGCTTTCATTCCTTGGACGACAACTAGAAGCTCCTTTGCCTCCTGTGGTATGAAGGGGATATGGTTCACAGTCATATTGCAGAAGGGTTATAATCATGGGCTGTAAAGTCGGGCAGTCTGGGCTTAAGTTGTCACCGCATTTGTGATCCTGCACGTTAATTTCTCTAAACCTCCCTCAGTTTTCCTGTCAATTGAGTCAGTACTACCTGCTTCGAGGATCATTGGGAGAATTAAATGAGATAATGTGTAAATCCTTATTAGCAGATCATTTATTTTGCGTGGAACATTCTACTGAGCATTATATATTTCGACAGATGCTAGTAATTCTGGTGCAGCGTTTCATCATAACCAAATTGAAACGTGGAAATCATTCATGGTGTTGTCATTAAGAAAAGATACAAAGTTTACCTCCTTTATCTTTGTACTTCAAAAATGACACCAATGGAATAAGTACTTAAGACGTTGATATATGGTTTGCAGTCCTTTATTAAGTAGTTATATAATATTATTTTACTAGTGGTTTTTCTTTTGAGAAATACACAAACTAAAATTAATTTTTCTGCTTTATTTAGATGGCCTCTTTACCTAAAAAGACTCTTCTTGCAGATAGAAGGGTGGAAATAAAAAACAGCCTCAGGCCAGATGGACTTGGATCAAGCAGGAGTATCCTAACAAACCGATAGGAACAACCCGGTGGATACTGAGTATTTTCGTATGGTAGTCACAGGAAACTTCTGATATTCTTTTATTATTTTCTTTTACAGAGTCAGACACTTGAAGAAAATCACTGATATTTAAATTACAATGTCTGATGATAAACATATGGCAGTCAAAATAACTAGAACTTTATTGCATTTGTAGAATTCTGAGTAAAGAAGCAAAGTGCTTGTTTTGTAAAAGGCCAAAATTTTATTTTCTACAAACTTTAAATGCTGTTTTTATAGACATGATGCGAGGTATGGAGAGGTTAATTTAATACAAGAACAGCCTGTTGTATAGATTTTACTTAACTTATACATATCAAGAAAAGTACAGTTCATGCCAAACGAAGCCTAGGAACTTGACAGACCCATAGTTTGAGACCAGGTAGCCATAGTTCATAGTATAGGGAATCATGTTCCTCTGAATTCCTGACTCTCAGGTGACTGAAAAGCTAGCATAATATGTACTAGCCTTAAACTCTGGAAGTTTGTGCTTTAAAAAAAACTCTTGACATAACCTTATTATCTTGTATTTGCCCCTTTTTATACATAAGGTGAATAAAAAGAAATAATACCAGCATTTTATGGATTCCAATTAATCAAGATTTCACTTAACCCCTGAAACTATTTTTCTTTGCTTGGCTATAATTAGAGCCTTTGGAAGTAAAATTGAAAGGAAGTATTTCCATTCTGTAACTGCTTTATAGCTGCTTTGTTCATTGCCTGATTTTTAGAAGAGATTTTTAGGCCACCCTCCCTAAAAAGGAATATGTGTATAGCCCAGCTAATCTATATGCTTTCACCTCAAACGTTGACAGATGGGCTTCCTAAAACTTGGGGCTAGGTAAATATTAGACTTGTGATACCTTTTGTTTTCAAAATCAGATTTGGGTTTAGAATAAATGGCTAATATTTCTAATTGTGAAAGCTGCTGTCCTTCTTAACATCCTACCTACCTTTCTTTTCTGGAGGTTAAGTACAGTTATGCACCAGAACATTACAGTTAAACTTGCCTCCAGAAGTAAAACTCATGGAAGATTCTAGACTTTCCAGAGCAGCTCTTGTACTATCTGGTACTACAAATGTGGTAGTAAGAAAAGAATAAATATGCTTACCCTGATGATGTTCAGGGTACCTGATTATCCTAATGTGATAGCATATGAGGAAGTCTAAGGGTCCATTTACCAGGTGGTTTGGTGATGGGAATAAAAATGTTATTCCAGTAGCTGATTTGGAAGGAAACAGATGAAGTTACCGGTAAGGTGTTTTCCACTCCTGTGTGGTTATGAGAAGTCATCAGAGGGAAACTAGAGAATAAAATGGCATGAAACAGGCTGGGCTAGTCTTGGAGCACTTGCACCTCGCTGTGAGTCAGGAAGGCGCTTCGTGGTGTAGTTTTTGGAACGTGGCTGTACAGCACTCTAGCATTACGAATATCTGATGATTGTCAGGATCATCTCTGATAATACTTAGATTTCACAGGGTACTCTTTTTTTGGCTCACCTCAAAGTACTCTGCTGCTATTTGGTCTTATGTTATCACTGTAAAATAGGTAATAAATATTACTTAGCTGTGACAGATGAAGAATTGGAATCCCAGAGGGCAGAATTTGGTTTGACTAAAATCAGGCGTGGGATAGAATTTTGGTCATTTTTCCTTGTAGTGTTACTGACAGTTCATGAACTTGGGTAAAATAATTTTTTATGATGAATCATGTCCCATTAATAAAAGGGAAAATAATGTTAACTACCTCATAAGTCTGATAAAGGGAAGTTACTAATGGTTTATAAAATTCTTCAAGGTGGTTAGATCAAGTATGATTTCAAAATGTCAACTAGCTCTGCTTTGGTGATTGCAAGCTGCTGCTTACATTAAAGTTCTCAAACAGTAAAGTAGAGCCTGTGCCAAAAGAAATATGAAGTTCATTGGTTTTAAATTTTGAACTAAAATGATAGACTGAGCATAATAACTACTATTTGAAAGGTAAATAATAAGATACCAAACACCAGTTTATGTGAGCAAGCAAGCAGTGATATTCCCTGTTGATCATGTAGAAGTTTAAGGTTTGATACTCTTAACAGACCGTCTTTCTCTTTGGAAGGCCTCTAAGCAAATGTGGGCAGAAGAGATGCCATTTTACGATGCTATTAACATTTGCTTTACTCTTGATAAACATAGACTGTGATAAATAGTCACCAACCAATTTCATATTTAAACTCTGTTTGGGTGAGTTATTCCAAAAGTAACTTGGAATTATTTTTTTAATTGCAATATTAAAGTCACACTTTGAATTATGGATTTATTTTCATTACTTTGTAATGCCTACAGAGGTGATCTAATATGGATGGTGCATGGAATATGGACTCCAGAGACCTGCTCTGCTCCCAAGCTCACTTCAGATCATTTTAGTCTCCTAGGTCTGTGTTACAAAGACAGAAAACAATTCCGATCTTGAAGCCATGAAGGAGGTTTTTACACAGATATACAATAGAAAGATGGAAAATGCGAATAAGTAAATGTCTTCTGATATCCTGAAATAAAGATAAATTTTAGTTAAACTGTTGTGTGAGTTCAGGTTTTTGTTCATAAGAAATTAAAACCCTACAAGGTATTTCTATTTAAGTTACTAAGCATTTGAGATTCAGTTAATACTTAGAATAGAAATTTAATCTACCTGTAGGGATAATACATCAGACGTCATGTATTTTAATTTTTTTCTGTATGCCAGGTTTTTACATGTTGCCATGTAGGTTGGCCTTCAACAGTAGGAGTATAACTTACGTTGTTCTTGACAACGGGGTTAGTATGGTTAAATATCCTATAAACTTGAAAATTTGCTTCCAACTTTATAGGTTTTAACCTTCACCTGGTGCTTGCTGTCTGGTTGTTCAGGCATTGAGAAAAATATAAATCCTGAGATAAATAAGATTATGTTTGAACATAGGCCCTATCATTTAGCAAAGTGTAAAAACACTGACAGTTTCTATAATAATGGCTGTATGAAAGTATGTAGGCTTCCAACGAGAAGATCCAGTACTGGGAGAAGCATACCTTTACCAAAAGCACAGTGTCAGATGTCATCAGAGTTTGAGCTACACTCAAACTTTTCAACTTGGATGTGAGCACAACTCAGTGTATCTGGTCCACTAAACATAGCTTTTTTTTAAAATTAGAAATAATTCTTCAAATAGGTTGAGCTGCCAATAATTGTTACCAAAAAGAAACCGAATGTTGTTTCTATGTGCTTTTTGCTGTGCCATAGGGAACCATGCAGCTAGCACACCTCTTCAAGAAAAATGAGATAGTCCTGGGAGTGATCCTGAAGTGCTATCTAGGTATGTGCCTGCTTATGTTATTTTCCTGTGTGTACCCACTTCGTGCTCACATCCTAGCCACAGTAGTTTTTCTCTTGGTTTCCTAACTTAACTTTCTACCCTTCAGTTGGATTCCTCTTCCTGTCTCCTTTCACCTGTCTACTCTGCCTTTAGAGGAGCTGAGAAGAGAAGAGCTCTTTTCATTTATTTTCTCCTATTTGTACTGTCATTTCACCAGTGTCAGAAGAAAGGTCCTTCCCTTATTGATACAAAATAAACTAGTTGCCATTTATGATAGTAATGCCTGCAAATTTTTAGTGAAGATGAAATTCTATGGTACATTCCTTTCCCATAAATGTGCCACACTTCAGTACCAGCAGATGAAATCCACCCCCACTAAAAACAGCCCAGGAACAATTGAAGCCAAGGCCTGCTGCACTCCTTGGTCCATCACTTACTTGGCTCAGGCCAGATCTCTTGTTTCTGTTCTAGTTCTGTTGGCACAACTTGCAGCAACTTAATGCAACAAAAGCCCCTCATAAGTTGACTTTAATTGGAGAGTCACTAGGTTCATCAACTATTAAAACAGCCATCTCTATAAAAGCATTTGAGGACATGGGAAGGTGATAAAATTTGTTTTTATATTTGTTTTTCACCATGCAAAACAATGAAAATGTAATCCTCATTAAGAAAGGAGCAAATCACTTAAAGTAGTTTTGGGAGTGTAAGGTTAACCTTCACTCCCATACTTTTCTCCTCTACTGTTTCCCTTGCTCAATTTTTTTTTCTGTATACCATACTTTCTAGTACACTTTGATTGGAACGGGCACCGAATAGGATATTTTTAGGAGGAACAGTACATAGAGATTGCCCTAAGAGATAACCACAGAGAGACCTTTCCAGCATCAGAATGACATGGTTGTTCAAGTGGAGGAGGAAATAGGTTGTTCGACAGGTCTGAGCACCGGCAATAAGCTAGGAAAGAAGAAAGGTTTGGATGCAAAGGAAGCAAAGAAGTAACCTTTGGAGGGGACCTGAATAACCAGAGCGTCTGCTATTTCACATATTTCTCCTGCTGTCATTTAATGTATCCAATTTCCACACTGGCAGTTGGTGCATGTCTCCAAGAGTCCCACCTCTATCAGGATCTGCCACTGGATGTGCCACTTCCTCCACCAGCACGCTAACCCTGGAGATGACTGGCACGAGAGAGGGAGAGGCGGGGGGCAAATGGAGTGAAATCCTTAATCTGAGCCAAAGCTATAGACATGAAGTGCCCCGGAGAGTCGGGCTCCCAGAGAACTCCTTCCAGCAGCAATGACAACTTGGTTCTGTGGAGGACACAATACAGACAGAATTCATGACCCTCCATAACATGTTAAGTTCCTACTGTAGTCCAGACATCATGTTGTGCTCTGGAAATGTAAAGATGACTAAGACAATGGCCAGATCCCATGGCTTGAACTTAAATGCCTCTTTCCCTTTGTTAAATACCACTTTCCCAGATCTGTAGGTTCCAAAAACCACAGCTGAGGACGTTCGCCCCAATCCCTTCTCTGGCACATGAAGAATAAAAGAAAAGCACATCAGTGCATGCTTATTCCTGAATGCCAGTTGTGGTACCATGTAGACTGCACATCTGCAATAATAAGGACGTCCCCAGGGGCTGCCTTTGTCTCTGTGTTTACACCACCTCCCACTGCTGCTGCTTGAAACATTCTGGGAACCATCTTTCAGAATTGCCTTCAAAACATGCCTACAAGTTTTTAAATATTTTCAGTGGTGGATCCCCAGGGGCTGCCTTTGTCTCTGTGTTTACACCACCTCCCACTGCTGCTGCTTGAAACATTCTGGAAACCATCTTTCAGAATTGCCTTCAAAACATGCCTACAAGTTTTTAAATATTTTCAGTGGTGGCAAAATTTCATACTTTGAGGTAGGATTTGATTTGTGGAAACTGCCAAAGGTTATTCCGAACTGAAGCTGGTAAATGAGTTTTGTGGGTGATCAAACTGGCTGATAGTGTTTTGGTCAGACAGGTGTGACAACTGCTCAGTGATTTAAATTTGAGAACTACTGGGAAAGTGAAGTAATTTTAATACTTACCCAAGTGAACTATAATTAGGGAAGTGAATTTGCTGTGTTTTACAGAAGGAAATCAAATTAAATATAGATGATCTATACCACTACTCCTCAACTGATAAAAACCATGGTTGATGTACATATGGTTTTTATTATTATACACGGGTTCTTTTTTTTGTTTGTTTTGTGCGTGTGTGCGGCTGGCCTGTACGGGAATCTGAACCACATAGATTCTTTTTTTTTTCCTTTTTGTCTTTTTTCGTGACCGGCAACGGATCGCAACCCTCAGT